AATTAAAAATGCAAAAAAATTATCAATAACGCCCCTTGAACCCCCGCAACACCACCTAGGGGTCGATTTTCACAAAACACATTTTGCAGTGTATTTCTATCCTATGAGAGGAATCTGCTAACCAAATTTCAAGACTGTGAGTCTAATAGTTTAAAAAAAGAAATAATTATTTATATCTGCCCTTAACCCTTGGGGCTGCACTCCTTGGGGTCAATTTTCTCCAAACCCGTTTTGTAGCGGATATTTACTCCATGAAAGAAACATTCCTACCAATTTTCAAGCAGGCAGGTCAAATACTTTAAAAACGAAAATATTTATCTCTTACGCCACTTATTCCCCTGCAACGCCACTTCGAGGTCTGTTTTCACAAAACCTTCTTATAGCTGATCTCTACTCTATGAAAGAAATCTCTTTATCAAATATAAAGACTGTGCGTCTAATAGTTTAAAAATGGAAATAATTATCTATAACGCCCCTTAAGTCCCCTCAACGCCACTTGGGGGCAATTTTCACGAAACCCATTTTTAGCGTATCTCCACCCTATGAGAGGAATCTGCTTACTAAGTTTCAAGACTGTACGTCTAATAACTTAAAAATAAGAATTTATAACGCCCTTAAACCCCCGCCCCCGCAACACCCCTTGGGGGTCAATTTTCCCAAAACCCATTTTGTAGCGGATATTTACTCCAGGAAAGAAACTTACCTTTTTCAAGCAGGTAGGTGAAGTAGTTTAGAAACGGATATATTTATCTATTACGCCCCTTAATCCCCCGCAACGCCACTTAGAAGTCTGTTTTCACAAAACCCGTTTTGTAACTGATCATTATTCTACGAAAGGAATCTATTTATAAAATTTAAAGACAGTGCGTCAAATAGTTTAAAAATGGAAATAATTATCTATAACGCCCCCTAAGCCCCTACAACGCCACTTGGGGGTCGATTTTCAGCAAACTCATTTTGCAGCGGATCTCTACTCTCTGAAAGGAATCCGCTTACCCAATTTCAAGATTGTACATCAAGTAGTTTAAACATGGAAACAATTATTATTAAAGCCCTTAACGCCCCTTGCGTTTCGAATTTCGGAAAATCCTTTCTTAGCTGATGTCTACTCTATTAAAGGAACATGTCTACCAAACTTCGAGTCTGTAGGTTGAATAGTTCCAGAGATTTCGTGATTAGTCAGTCAGTCAGTCAGTCAGTGAGTCGCTTTTCTCCTTTATATATATAGATATGCTTATATTTTACATTTCATGAGTATTTTTGAGATTATTTAATATTTTAACAAACGGGGTATGGCGCAGAATAGCCAGAAGTGGCTCTAGTGCCATTAAACACCACATTCGGTCACTAAGGGTAGCGTTCTAACATAATCACTCTTAATAAACATACTTCTATGACTGTGAGAGATATAACTACGGTAGTTGGTATGCGCAACTCGAGTATTTCAAGAACATTTCAAGATTCCGGAACATCGTCTCCAAAAAGAAAAGGAAAATGTGTAGGCTCAAATGGAAAACTACTTCAAGAACTTATAAAGTTCCAATAGGAAATAGCAAAGTAAGTCCAAGAAAGATAAGCAAAGACCTTCGAAGGATGTATTCGATTATGGTGCAGAAGTGAGCCCTTAAACTATAAAGAAGTTCCCGTGACATTTTGCTAAATTCAAGAACATAAAAAGCATTTTCCCCAGCTAACACCACCATTTTGACTGACTTGTCACAGGACATGTATGCTATTGCTCATGCCTTCAAGATATAAAAACTTTTGTGTACATTTACCTTACGGATCGCTGAGAAGATACGTGTCTTTGTAGTTTTACAGCAATTGAAAAATGTATACTTCTTCATGAAGCAACTGATAATATTTTTATAGTTCTTCAATGAAATTGGAACGGATATTTTATTCCCATTCATTTCAGTTTCCACAAAATTTTAAATATTAGTTTATATTTCTTCCACGATGTCTTTTTAACTGTACAATAATTTTCCGAATTTTACATAACCCGTTCAGGACCATGATCACATAGATGTGATCACGCGTTTCTTCCTCTAGGGCCCACGGTATCATATATGTGATTCCGCTTTCCCTGCTCAGAGGCCCATGATCACTCATGTGTGATTTGAGTGTGGAACGTTTTTAAACATTTGTTCAAGGCACTAGAGGGTGGTTAAAGTCCGTTTTTTTTAATAATGTTTCACAAAACTTTGAACTTCAATATGAGCTTTCTTCTTCATGCTTTTTTAATCAGATCCAGTATATTTATGAATGTAAACAACTGCACATGTTTAACTTTTTTGAGAGAATCGGGCATTCAAAGGTTCGTGATTTATTGTGCACTGGATTTTTGCTTATATTTTGACTAAATTTTAAAAAGATGGAAAGCTTATTAGTTAATTGACATTAGACATTCATAAAGAGTATTTTTTGTTTATTAAAATGAAAACATTGTCTTTAAAATTCGCAATTGTTTATTTTTTTTAAATATAGCGAATATTTTTGTGTACTGTGTATTTAGATATTACCAATTATGTTAAATTGTAAATTTTAGCGTATTTGATTGTATTAAAGATTTCATAATAACTTTAAAGATAAATTAGGTTTAGCAGTGAAATTCGTTCGGTACCATGCGTGCGTATACTCTCGGAAAGTGATGGCCTGGGGAAACATTTTTTCTCCGATCGCCGGTCCTGAAGGGAATAAAGTGATTTTTCTGGCCTCAGTATTCGATATGAATACAGGGTCTAAATAGTAGTTGGCTTTGTCTCAGTCAAGTTGTTTGATAAACACCAGTAATATAGGGCAAAATATAATAAAAAGTACTATGACTTTTTAGAGTTAATTTTAAAGTATCCTAGTTCGAGTAAAAACATCGTTTGTAGAGGGCAATTAATGCACGTTTAATCTGAAGAATTTGAAGTTCATCATTTTGGCATGGTATGGAAGCTTGGAGTGTGAAATATCAGCACAAAGATCGTCTTCTTTACTTTCCCAAAGATCAGTGCTCAATGATACGTCGCCCACTCCCACGTGTATTGTAATGACCCTGGTAACCTACAGATGAAGGTGACGTACTCATGGATGGCGCATCATGAGTTCAAGCCTATACTGCTGTTAAATCTGCTTATTTGTATTAAATCTAATTTTTCTGGCAGCAGTAGTCGATAGGAATAATGGGTGTAGATCATAGTTGGCGTGTTTTTGTTAAGTGGTTTGCTTAACATCCACCGTATTGAGCAATAGAGGAAAGTCTAAGATAAAGATGGTTATATTACGTTTTAGAGTTAATTTCAAAGAATCCTAGAACAAGTTAAACGCTTAATGGAGAGGGTAATACACATTAAATCTGTAGAATTTGAGGTTTTTCATATTGGTGTGGTATGAAAGTCTGCAGAGTGATATATAAGTTCAAATGTGGTCTTTTTTATTACTCCAAGACTCAGTCATCATGAGTTTGTCACCCACTCTCACGTGTATCTTAGTAAGTGAGATCAAGGTCACAGATTCGTGGCTGGTGAGTCACGAATTGATGTAGAATGGGCCAAGGCACGTTAAATCTGTCGAGGTTCAAGTATCCTTTCGTTGGTGTGATGTGGAAGTTATGAGAGAGGTGTTAATTGAGGTAATGTCTACATCACTACGAGTATTCAAAATTAAGAAGTCCGTCACCATTAGTCCTCGTGCCGGCTTTGAAGACCGACGTTAATATAACTCTCTCTTTCTCTCGCATGTATCTTACAAATGCTACATTCATTAATAATCAATGAAGCAAAATTTTAAATGTAATGCTTTTTCTCCGTGCTAGAAATTTTGAATATTACTTTAAATACATGTCAGGTTTTTTTATGAATTTTTTAAAACATTTTTATATTTTTTACGTTGTGTAAGATTGAGATTATATATTGGTAACTATATTATAATACTTTTAAAAAACGTTGCGTTACAATAATTGTATAAACAGAAATAACCCCAAAATAAATTTTACAAATCTATTTTAACCCAAATTTCTGCTCTAATTTTATATATTGGAATCATGTACTGTAGTTTTTACAACTCAACTCAGCTTCACAGATTTATATGAAAATTACTGCATTACTTTCTTCGAAATAACTATCAATAAAGCACTTCCACCAGAGCAACTTGAGATATTATTAAATTCTGTTATACTGAGTTATACTGCGAAATACTGCGTCAGTTATACTGAGATAGGGAAAATGTATATGGGGGGGCTTCTCAGACAGTGTCATCTACGTATTTCGACAGGAGGGTTTCGAATGACGTTTCGGTCTTCTGGAGTTAAAGAACGTGTCTACTCTCCCGGATTCTGGAAAAGCTCTTTCGTCAAAAAGATTCAGTTTCCCAGAGGGCTTTTGGGCTCCCGTCCCTTTCTCAATCCACTGGAAAACTTTATCCTGACTTAATTAAGCCCAAAGGTGTTGTTTGCTTCTAAAAGATTTACAGAGAACCCTTTAGTTCTTCCCTCTCTTTATTGTTCGTATTTTCTTACAAGAGATGAAAAAAAATGGATTAAAAAATTCTTGAAACAAAGAAAATTATCCTTTTTTTTTATTCTTTAGGATTTTATTCGTGTAGAGACCAAAATAGTGGAATTAAGAAGCAGTTTTTTTTTTCAAAAGTTGTTTCAAAAAGAAAAAGTACATTTTTTTTAAAAAAAAGTAATTTAATTTTCTTATGCGTTTTTCTTTTATGTTTTTATCTACTGCTTGTAAATTATTTTTTTTTTCAAATTGCTTCTAGTGCAGAACATTCCACACAAAAACAATCTTAAAAACTTTTTTCAATTCCTACTATTTATTTCACTATCTCCATATATATAATTCAAATTTTCAATCGTTAGTAAAATAAACTTGTAGTGGATGACAAGTGATGTTAATACAGTTTTTTTTCAAATATTAATTCATTAATTAAATTTTTAAATGAATAATTAGTAACATAAAATAATAGTCTAACAGCAAATATAGAAATGGAAAATCGTCCGTTTTGCCCCTGTAGGGCAATAAATAGCGTGTTGGACTTTTGATCCAAAGGTCATGGTTTTCAATCCCATCTGGGATGGCCTAATTTCTGAGAATGTGATTTCTTTTATGCTATACTATTTTATTAGAACAATTAAATTTAATGAATAAAAAGTAACACACAAAAAATAGTCCAACACCACATATAGAAAGAAAAATGGAAAATAGAAAGGAAAATCACTGTCTATTTTGTCACTTAATATTAGGATTCTGTCACATGTATATAGATATTTATGCTAATTGTAAATATGTATAAAAAGTAACTGAAATAAAGTTTTTATTTGTTGACCCAAGTAAGAATTGACTTAAATTTTTTTTTAATTATTTATTTATTTATTTTTATTGATTTTTTGCTGTTATAAAATGCATCTAAAATTATCAATTTCCCTTAACTTTTCACTCATTTGATATATATAAAAATTTTCGAAGCATTCTTTTTATTATAGTATTTTTTTATATTTTAGACACTGAGTTAAGGCTAACCATTTAACCAATTTAGTAGAAAATCTTTAAAATATTGTTTTTACTCTATTTCTAAATTATATCGACTTGTTTTCAGTTGTATCATATTCACATTTAAAAGATTTCGAATTCTATGCTGATGAGAGTTTGTATAATTTATTTAAAGACAACTTTTTTAAAAACCAAAACTTTATTAATACACGAAACGTACAAATATTCGAAATCTGTTTTGCAACTCGGCATTTATCGCATGCACAATCAAATTATATCCGTTGCCAATGCTCGAAATATAATGTGCACAGAGTAAATAGGCTGTCAATAGTCCTATAATAATACTTTAGACACGCATTTTATGCATTCATATATATGGGACTTAAATATCATACGTATATCACCACACCCGCTAATACCATAAACTGAGCTGAATATGTTGGAAACTGAAATAAGTTTGATTAGGTATCTGATTGAAAAAATAAATACATTTATTGGACTTCATGTGATGATATTCTAGATAATTTATATCTCAAAGCAGAAAGTTTATCATATTCCCTTGGTAAGAGAATAAAGTTCTCTTGAGATAGAATTCTCTCTGTTTTTCTACGGATATAATCCTGTGTTTCTGTGTCATCCCTATGTATAGAATAATTGCTTACATAAGCAATATCCATGTATGTTTCGAAGAAAGATATTTTGCCTATCCTTTTAGAGAGAAATTAAATGAACTTCTACAGTCGAAATTGTTGTTTGAATTTTGTTTAAACCGAAATTCCAACCCTTGGAATAGTACGAATATTAAATATTAAATGAAACTGAGCCTGTGGCACCATCGAACGGATTCATGTGGAGATCAGAAGAAGAGGTTATAGATCATACCTCTTCATAATGCGAGCTTAGAATTCCGAATTGATTCGTATTACCATTCCTCATACTAATTATTGCTCTATCTAAACGTTGATTCAAAATGAATTTATTGATTGAGAAATTTGTCATGAATACCTTACAAAAGAATCAAACCATTTCAGGCATATGCCTCAAGGGTTTTTTTACAAACTTCTTAATGTAATTTCCTGAATTAAGAATTGGGTTTTTTGAGTAAAATTATTAAACAAAAATATGCTAAATATTGATAATTTATTTAACGCTTGAGCAAGTAAAATACTATTCTGAATTAAGTGTTCAACTGTTAAATGCAGTATTACACTGAACTTACGTGATAGGTGAGATGAGTGATAAGTGCGTAAGTCGAATCCGCGTATGTCGGGTTACGATTTGACAGATAAATTATTTTTAATTGGGTCTGGAGAAGAAAGGATATAATTTTTAGAAAACAATGTTCAATAAATATTTGATAACAAAGATATGAAATTGCAAACAGAAAATATTTTGAAGTAGAAAGTTTCATAAAATATGTCAAAGTACTCTGTGAAAGGTTTTTTAGTCCTCTCGCAAAATTACCTATCGTACCGTGCAATTTTTTTCTATCCCTTGTTTATTTGAAATATATACTCTTTTTGTTGAATCCCATATTTTCTTGAAACTTTTTTTAAAACTAAACTTATGCTTTATGTCAAATTCCCAACCGTCATTCGTTCTTATGATTCAGCTGGGTCTAAAGACTCTGCAATGTCTTGCTCTTGCTCATGCATTTCTATGAGCTCATCTATTATCAGCTCCTGATTGTGGAAATTCAGTAATTATTAAATGCCATCATACTATTCACTTCTAAATTTATTTGCCACGCAAGATCGACAACTTTTTCAATAACATTACCAATTTCCTCAATTTTACCAATATTTTTCTCAAACAATGGACAAATCGACAAGATTTGAAAACCACGTAACTCCGGGTTCAAATAATTCAGGGTAGCGTAAGTTGAGGTATTACTGTATATGAAAAGTATTTTCTAAGAAAAATGTATTATATCAATTAATATTTACTAAGTGTTAATGTAGAATTAAAAAGATGGTGTTGAGAGTTTTCAATGCGATAATAAAAACAAATTGCTGACATTTAATTATTTATACTAAAATAAAATTATTTTTGAACTATTTAGTATTTGGATTCGTAATTACAAAATACATGGAGTTTTTTTTAAGCAAACTATCAAAATAATGGAAGACTTGTTTAAAATTTTCCTCTGGTTTTCCATTAAGAAAATTTTATTTTAATATAAAAAAAGTATGAAATTGTTATTCTTTTCAGAAACAATGGGGCTTAGTTAAAAGTGAATTCCTGAGCACAGTCACCAGTTTTTCTTTTTTAAGTATAAATGTAATTCGGAAGAGAAACAAAAAAAAATGTTTAATTGTAATCAAACATCCAGAAGCTGCACAAATCTATGTCTTGAGATTAAGGAGGTTGGCAAAAAACTGTGGAATTACATGTTTTGCTAACAAGAGTATTTTTATGTAATACTGACACAACTAGAGTCCACATTTCACAGCTACCCTGTGCATGCTCATCATGAAAATGTGCGTATAGAAAATCCTTCCTGTTCTCAATTTCTTCGGAATTCCCTTGAATGGTCACATGGTTATTTCTTTTTAACTACATCTTCAGTTATAAAGAAAAATCTTTAGGGAAGTGTTTCTCAAACTTTAAAAAAAATTTCTCTCTCTGACCCTATTTTCAATCAGTTTTCATCATCCCCCTCTCCCTACAATAACACTGTATTGAATGCAATAGTAATTTACTTTGACGCTAAACTTGCCATAGAACCATTACTATAAACCACACAAATTATCAAGATAAATTTTAAATTTTGTACGTTACTTTTAAGTAAGAGATATTTTAAGAGTAATTTTAAATAAGTTATATTTTTAAGTAATAAGAAAAGTATTACGTTTCATTTCCTTTCTAATTTTTAAATTGAAGCAGATTGCAATAAAAGAGTACTGTGTATGTCAGAATGTATTTTGTTTTGCTTTCTTTCAGAAAAATAATAATTTTTTTAAATATTTTTTTATTTTTGACTTTTTGACCCTGTAGAATTATTACGCTTCCCTAGGGAGTGTGCCCTACAGTTTGAGAAACGATGCTTTAGGACATGTTGACATCTATAGAATTGTATACAAAAAACGCTTCTTTCTATAGTTTTTATTAACCTGCCAGCAGTTAGAACTTATACACTCGGATGCGAAGAAAAAAACATGCATTAAACATTAAGCTCTATTTTTCCACCGAGCAAATTGACGCCCCTTTAGCCTAAGGGGAAAATTCAAGGTCAGAGACCTTTCAACCAGCTCTCACATATTACTTTAATTTTTGCTTATATACTGCTGAAAATATTCCTAGTGATATTTCGTTGTATATGTATGGAAATATTTTCTACCAGATGATGCAGAGTTTTATTTCTCTAACTGTAAATATAAAAGGATTCAACGTATTTGAATATTTTTAATAATTACTGAAATAATTTTAAACTAAATCGTATTTTTTATGTGGATATCGCTGTTTTATCTTTGAAAAATATTTCTTTATTTTTACAAATTTAAATCTCCCCTTTAAAGAAATATATAATTTAATATTAAAGAGAAAACAAGTGCAGTAAAAATGTTGTTCTGATATTTTTTACACCAGTCTTTTCTCCCCCTTTGGATAAAAAATTGTGATGCTTTTGTTTCAAAAAAGTACATTACAAAACCCTTTTTACAAGCTTTTTTTAAATTTTATATATGCTGTATTAAAGATTCGTAAGGAAACTTACAAGAAAAACAAGTAAAATTTAGTATAATGTATTAGTACATATGTGTACAGAAAAACAAGAAAGCAGACATTTACAATGAAAAAAGACTACCATAACATAAAGCTATTTTTTAAACGAAACAACGGCATTAACATTCAAAAGTACTTAAGAGTAAAATGGAAAACGCTATTTTACATTTGAAACAAAAGACATTTATTTCGTTCTTTAAGCTTTTAAAAATGTAACACTTCACTGATTTGTTACACAAGATCAATTTTAAAACGTAAGGAGGTATTTGAATGAGAATCTTTCGAAATAAATACAATCACACAACAGTGCAAATAGTGAAAAGTGAAACAAAATTTCTGGAAATAGAGCGAAGCGTTTTCATAAATATTTTTCTGGAGTGGAAATGAAATTTTAAGTTTTTAATGGAATAATGTTTTTGATAAGAAGGAATTGAGAGAGGGAGGAAGGGTCAAAAATGGATACAAAAAGAACTAAACGAATTGCACAGTTGATGTACCAGACTCAACTATTATTTTCCGTAGTTTTCAAGAGCTTTAGTTATTCCAAAGTGATTAAAGAGATATAAAATTGAATACAACGGCGAACAAATTTTACATTTTTCGTGAGAGTAGCTTACTAATAAATTTAATACTATGTACTACCAAAAAAACCTATGGAGTCCGTTGAAATTTTGAATAAAGGGGATTCTGAGACTAAAAAAATCATAATAAAAATGTAGCATTCTTATGAACAAGTATTCAAAAAATTTGTGAATGGTGTATATATATATATATATATATATATAACATTAGCTATACAAATAATTTTTTTAGTGATTCAAAAACTATTACATGCGAGTTCCAATGCATGTGCACAAATTAAAA